ACACATATATATATATATATATATTATTATATATATATATATATATATATATATATATATGTGTGTGTGTGTGTGTATGTATATGTGTGTGTCGGTATACATACTTGTCAATTAGAGAACAAAGTAAACCACACATACTTAAATATACTTTGATATTCACTATCTCGTCCCACACGTTGTAAGGTGGTATCGCGTCTCCGTTGATCCCTTTTAGGTTAAAAATCTATGTTCAAAATTAATATCATCTACATCCCGCTTAGTAAACGTTTGTGGTCTAAGATATACGACTGAATACATAAGTCAGCACTGATTCCCTGCAGAAGTTCGCTCACCAAGGAGATACTTGTGAACGGAACGAACCCTTTTTTTTCTAACTCGTAATAGTATTGCGATCACAGAAACGACATATAATATTTATGGATCATTCATGCAAGAGCATGCTGCAGTAGAACACGTCCTACAATACCATTTTTCGAGACTTTCTCTACAGATAGAAGCTTGCTAATTGTCGATTTGTGCTAACTTGAAGGCAAAGTGGCATTTCGGACGTCAGCGGCACAATTGAAATATGTACATATATATGAGAGTAAAATGTAGACTCATACATACATAGTGTAGTGTGAGGTATTTTTCAACAAAAAATAATTTACATCTCAGTTGTTCGAAACTCCAAAAACTGATGACAGCATACTATTAGCGATATGATGTTCGGTACCAAATGGACCTCTAAATTTATTTTATATAAAAAACAACATTATAAAATTTATTCTCACACGTGCAGTAGTCAACTCGTGGACTCTCTCTTTGTGTAGAATCTAGGGGCCACTTCCCAGCCAAGTTACCAGGTGTCGCACAATAAATTGCATTTGAAATTATGACACATCTCGTGTCATGAATTTCATTGGATCGATGGTACATGCAGTTTGCAAAGCACCTAAATACGCAAATACATTCGCCAAAACGCTGTAGTACAGATTCTATTGTAGAACGCGTAGGAAAGTAAATACACAGTCCCTGCCATCTTCACCTCGGTCCCTACATCTACATCGGGACATATACTCGACCGCAACACTGGCGTGTTATGCCATTGATAGCATAGGTGGCGGGCATCCCGACACAACATATCTATTCAATTTCCACTGTAAATTTTATCAATAGCACATAGTTCTCGCGTATCTGTCGACATGCTGCAGTCGGCAGTATGTTGGCGTTTGCCAACGAAGACCACAGTATGTATCAATACAAGACGTGGTTATGCGATGTTATATCCGAAGATGAGGCGGTCTCGGATAGAGGGCGGGAGAGCTGGGTTCAAAGATTTTAACTGTTACATTGCTAATTTAGGTGCCCGGCAACGATTAGGTATACACACCACCACCGCACTATGGCAACAAGATGATATTGTACCGTCAAATGGTACATCCATTAGTGCGGATCAGAAAGAATCAGCTAGCGGTAAAGGGTATGGTGTTGTGAAAAAAGGTAATGTAGATATCAACAAAAAGGTGCGTACTGTGAGAAGCTTGCAACGTGCTGCGATGGCCGGCAAATACGAGACAATCGAATCAAAGGAGGTTTCGCTGAGTAAATTACGGAGTTTAGAAGAAACACGGCTGCAGAATCTGAAGGGTATGTTGTTAGCATAACTTGTAGATTATTGACTTAAATGCGTGTATGTGTATCAGGTCCAATGTTACGCACGTATGGAGACATACAAGTACTTGTACACCCAGAGAAAATTGCGGACATTTACCCGATATATATATATATATATGTGTGTGTGTGTGTGTTATTTTATGTATATATACGTGTGTGTATATATGTATATAAATACATATGTACATACACACACATACATATATATTTATGTGTGTGTGTGTGTGTGTGTATTGGTCTATATATATATATATATTTGTATATATATACTTATACAAAAACATTTATTTATATATATGCGTACATACACCCCCCCCCACACACACATATATATATATATGTACATATGTATATCTATATGTATGTATGTATTAGTTTTTTTCCGGCGCAGAGGTGTAGATATATATGTGATGTATATGTTCGTGTCTTTTTGTCTATATGTTTATATATTTATATAGATATAGACATATATATATATATGCGTGTGTGTGTGTGTGTATTCATATATAGATACATATAAAATTGATGTATGTGTGTGTTTATAGCTGTGTATATGTTCTTGTACGAATGTATATATATATATATATATGTAATATACTGTGATATCGTGTATTCATATATAAATACATGAATGTATGTTTCGCTTTTGTATTTAAAAGTATTTTCCTGTTCGTGTGAATGTGAATGGGATATTCATTTACATATAGTGATAATATTTTTATTTTTATATATAGATATTAACATTCGTATGTATTGGCATATATATATATATTCTACAAGTTTATTTGTTGTGTTGATTTTTATTTTCCTTTGCTGTCACAACTTTTTATTCAATTTGAATATACTACATATATCAGTAGTGGCATACTTGTGCATTATCTGTTCGGATGCACATGTTACACACCTATTCTTCCACATCGATTTTTCTCCGTCTGATGGAACGATTGATGAAGCTATTAATCTTCCGACGCTTGTTCTATGGTACGCTATTTAAATGGTCTTGAAATTTGTTGGGCACATATATTCTCGTATTTGTGAATCGACACGGTTTGTTTTTCTTCAAAATTATAAACACATACAACCAATGTCATTGAAAATTGATTCCAGTGTACATACACATCGAAACCAATTTCGCCAACTAATATATGTATATTGCTTTACCCACAGTCGGTATGCCGAGCGCGTCGGTAGCGCATATCCATCAATTCTCCACGAAAGGCATGCTGGACTGGTACGACTTAAAGATTTGGCCAGTTCGCGATGCGAAAACTGGACTTGCAGCCTTTCTCGAATACGACCAGAAGCAAGAGAGAGAGGAGTCTGACAACAAGAAGGCGAAGAAAGCTGAGAAGCTCGAGATCGGTGGCCGTATGGACTCCATGTTATTCAGACACTACCAGCTGTGCCAGATGGTGTTGCACCGCGAGTCTGTGCTGCATCAAAAGTCTAGGACGGTACGACGGGATGAGGAGTACCGGGAAATTGAGCCAGATGTCAATGAGGACCGGTTTGTAGATCTCCTGGGCACTTACCTACCTCCCGATCTGGCCTTCGAAGAAAAATTTGACCTTGTGGTGGACTCGGCAGGCGAGGGAGAAAATAGTGTGTGCCCTATAGAAACGGCACTGACGATAAAGACCGGAGACGGTGAGACGGGATACAAGGTCACCACCTTGCAGGACAAACGCGCGAAAGCACGCAAATCGAAACGGGCGAAGAAAGTGCTGGAGGCGGAGGGTAGTGCCGATGAAGGGTTGTCTGATGCTGCTGCAGGGGCAAGTGTAGACGGAACGAGCGCGCCGGAGGGCAGTGTGGCACTGGAGATGACGAGGATGATGGATGGCAAACAAGAGGGGGGTGGGGTCGGAGGAGAAGGGACTGCGCTGAATGTTGGACAAGGAGATGGTGCACGGCAGGAAAGCGATGATGAGAAAGTTGCTGCCGGTGCTAAGGAGTCGGATGCACTTCATATCAACTTGGAAGATTGGCCGGAGAAGAGAGAAGGTATTCTGCGGGACTTGCAGCTCGGCAAGACAATAGGGGAGAAGCCCAAACCGGTGGCTACGAAGAAGCAGATAAGCAGACAGATGCCTCACATGTCCAAAGACGAGCGAGACGAGGAATGGAAACGACAGAAGGAGGAGGTCAAGGCAAATACGGTGGCGTGGAATAAAGCCACTAAGGCTTATGCGAGGGCTAAGAGAGAGTATGCGGCGTATTGTAGGGAAGCATACGTCCGCATGGACTGGCAAACGGAGCGTCGTCCAGAGCTGGCCACACGGCAGAAGCAGTGGCAGTTGATGACTCTGCAGATTCTGCTGGGGATGCCTAAGAAGGAGCGAAAAGAGGCATTCGACTGGTTGGAATACCGTCACACTAGAGGCAAGGGTTATACGGCCGTGGGTGCGGAGAGGAATAGTAATGATAAAGGCAAAGCAAAGTACGAAGCGCATCTGGCTATCGAAAAGGAAGTGGTTGGTATGCTGCAGAAGCTGGACGAAGAACCGGAACATGATGCAGAGGCTGGTTTACAGCACGTGTCGGCGTTGATGGGCTCTGAAAACGAGGATGAGTTACTGGAGGAGTACAAGAAATTTAACCGAAAGAGCAAGAAACGCAAGCGTGCGTATTGATCCCCATTTAAAAATATTAGTGAGCATCCTTTGGAGGGGATATACTCAATGTTTGTTTGTCAATAAAGAAGCGCTCGAGTAAGTGCAAAATTGAATATAAAGTAACTGCATATATTATGTTCAAGTATAAATGCATAAACATATACATGAACATATATATATATATATCGATATATTTATATAGACATATATATATATATATATATATGTATGTATAATTATATTTATTTATTTATTTATTTATACATATATATATGCTACATGTGATATATATGATATATAAATACTACATATATGTATATATATATATATGCAACATGTGATATAGGTAGCCGTAATGCGTACATTTTGTGGGACGCTAGTCACCGCCGATTCCGGCTGCACAATGTAAATGCACTTGTGTAGATCCCATAGAAACCCTTAGACCGCGTAGTCGACTGTAGTCGCGACGTTTGAAGTGTTGTCCCAGCGGCATGCCTGCACTGTGATATCAAGACCATGTACTGTCTGATTGCAATAGTCTCTAACCTGTACAACTTTAAGGTGCTATGCAGAGCTACCATACTCACCGCTAGGTTTATTGACTTGCTACAAAAGTTAAACTGTTTGTCTACCATTCTGAGTTGTTGGATTCCGAAGTCGATCTAATCGAGCAGTTTTTGAATTTCCTCTGATACAGAAATGTGGGCATCCATCAGATAACGGGCGTTGTTGACCTCCACCTTTTCTTCCTCGTATCTGTTCGATGCAACCGAACATAAGAGAATAAAGGGTATTTTGAGCACGAGTTAAGGCAAGCGCTTTGTACAAGGCCAACGAAAATCGATGGGGTTCTATAGGCGATCCCCAGGTGGGCTCAAAATCATTCATAACAACGTGATGCCCTATTTCAAGGTCACCGGAGGGTAAATAATTCTGCAAATATAAACTCATGAGTGCACGCACCCCGCACTCGACCGTATGAGAGTAGAAAACATATAACCACGCCCATGGCAAAACATATCCCTTAAGACGATTACATCGCTAGCTACGCGTGTAAGCCGCACGCACACCCCACCTGTAGCACTCCAGTATACCAACAATACTCCTGCAAACACGCCTGCACCAGACCACTCACCTGTAGTACTCCAGTATACCAACAATACCCCCGCAAACACCCCTGCACCAGACCACTCACCTGTAGCACTCCAGTATACCAACAATACTCCTGCTAACACGCCTGCACCAGACCACTCACCTGTAGTACTCCAGTATACCAACAATACCCCTGCAAACACGCCTGCACCAGACCACTCACCTGTAGTACTCCAGTATGTCAACTATTCTCATACAAACACGCCTGCACTCGGCCACTCACCTGTAGCACTCCAGTATACCAACAAACTTCTGCTAACACGCCTGCACCAGACCACTCACCTGTAGTACTCCAGTATACCAACATACCCCTACAAACACGCCTGCACTCGGCCACTCACCTGTAGCACTCCAGTATACCAACAAAACTTCTGCAAACAAGCCTGCACCAGACCACACACCTGTAGTACTCCAGTATACCAACAATACTCCTGCTAACACGCCTGCACCAGACTACTCACCTGTAGTTGACCATGATACCGTACGACCGCTGCATGCCTCTGTCGCTGGTATCGCCCAACCAATTGAGACGATACACAGACGCCCCGTTCCGGATATGAAAATTGGCCACGGGGTCTAGCGCAAATTTGCGGTTTCTCTCCAACACGAGATATCTGACGTTTGTATGTGCAGGTACGATGATAGTCGTGAGCGCGAGTAGACGGAGTGGAAGGAGTACTGATTCCTCAGTGTAGAATAAGATTAGAATCATTGTCTTCCCGAGACTTCAGTTCACGAAATGCATGTCAAATGCACATGACAGCACCTGTAGATGGATTATGGATGGCCTCACCAACAGCAATGTAAGGCAGAACTGTCTGATGTAGTCAAACACGCAAACGACATCGCAGCAGACTAATATGACGCAAGGGCATCCGTGTACGTTAAGATGGGTACCGAGGATGAATCTTGAGTAAGCAATATACCGTCACATAACCTTCAAAATAGTTACAAAGTACAAGGCTGCAAATCCCGGCGACTTCGATCGCGCGCACACACACAAGCCAACTCCCCATAAGCCCTGAAAATCGATAAAACCCCTGAAACTCGATGAACCCTTTCTGGATCTACCTGTGGCATTACGTACTATCCATGAAAAGATGCAGTTATCGCTAAATAATACACTCCCTACTTAACACTACTGAAGACTGCACCCACCTGGCACACAGCCGCAGAAGTATCGGCTTTGTCACAGGGGCCAAGTCTCCACTCCACTGGTCATCCGAGAGAGCCGCCTGACGATTGCCAAGACAGGCCGTTCGTGTTCATGCAGTAGAAGTAGTGCGGGGCAGAGAATAACCGTGCGATAAGCGATTGAAGGATATAATTGGTACACGAAACATCTACGCCTTAGCACATGGCTGCTAATCAATGGGCCATAGATGGCTCCAACAGAAGCCCAACGCAAGGCCGTGTGCTCACCCGGTACAGAACACAAGGGGCATTTCCGTCAACCACAAGATTTCATTTGATATGTATCTACCGCTAATCTTCGCATCGCACCAAACTTGCTGAGACAGTATACCGTTGTGGTTACTCTACATGTACACCGACAGGAACACCAAGTCTCTTTTTGTCTTACCTTGAGTGCTGCGGTGGGTGTGGTATGGCCTGGTTTGGCGCTGCTGATGCGTTCGGCCTCGTCCGGTTTGAGTAAGTTATCGGCTGGCGCGAAAGGGGACAATGTGGTAACCAGTGAGGACAGTGCGAATACCGCGACGCCCCAAGTAAGTGAGCTCGTCCAGTAGGTGTGTGATGCATGTGAGTGCGCTGTCACGTTTGTGTTCTGTATATGTAGAAATGCCGCTCTCTGTGCGTGTGTGCACTTTCTGTGTGTGTGTGTGTTTCATATGTGTACACCTCCTGCGTGTGCGCTGTTTTGCATTGAGTCTGGGATGTATGCATATACTTCCTGTACTTGTGTGCCCTTCCTCACTATGTTTTTCCTTTTTATACGCTACTAAAAGTGAGAAAGTAGACCTTTCTGTTTGAATTGAGATTGTTCCAGCTTCAAAGCAGAAACGCTTCTGAGTAGTAACCACGCAAACATATCCCATGTGACTGCGAACACGGCAATCGAAAAATATAAATATAAATTTTCGGCCATCAAAGGCACGCGAAGCCAGAATGGAATCTGTGGCTATGGCCCTTTTAGCTAAAGTACATAATGCAAATACCTGAAGTAGACGTCGCGCTCAGTTTAAACTGAGTTTCTAGCCAGGACCGGAAACCTGCGATATTGACCGGGAGAATGATTATAAGCGCGCGTACAGGTGAAATGAAGAACACAAATGCTATGGTGACATATGACTGACCTCGGCATATGTCGAAACAAAAGTAGCAACATCAGTCCACACTAACCACTAACCTGGTACGGGCGAGAGCGTGCTAGCAATCTCTAAATTCGGGAAGCGATGTTTAAGCACTACGCTCACTCGCTTAATCAAAAAATTGCCCAGATCAGCTCCACTGAGTCCCTTCTGGGTCGAGTTGATTGAGTAGAAGTTGGCCGCATGGACCTTGGCGGTGTCTAGTTTGGCCTCAGGCCCAAGTAGTGCCTGTACAAATTGGTGTATTGCTGAGTGTGAGACGCCAATCAAGCTTTGGGTGTTGTTTAACCATGAGCTGTATTTGCTGTGAGGGTTTCAGTGTGCTTTGGCGCGGCAATTATATTCGAGGTTGGCATGTTGACTATATTCTAACTTCCGTTTTCCAGGATCAACATCTGATATGACAGCATTGCCGTATGTACACACATAGCTTCTGCTTAGAACTAGATCAAGTCCCTACCACTCGACTTGGACCAAAATACTCACAAGTGCGGAGCAGAGCCCAATACATACCTGGACTGAGCTGGAGAGTGCGCTTGTGAGAGCCACGTGTACTATGACCAACGGCGTATCTGGTAGCGACCTGTGGAAGAAGCCGAAGACCATGCGGTCCTCACCCACACGCCGTTTGAGATCCTGCCAGTCACTGACCTTGTGCACTTGCTCGTTCTTATACACCTAGGGGTGTGGAATGGGAGTCATAAGAAAACAAATTAGACTGCTATTTCGTATATTAAGGAGGGATGATAAGAGTCAAAATAGAGCTAGTATAAGCCATTATTTTGAATTTTTGATAGTCAACAATGTGTATCGCAATACGACGAGCATGGGCCTATTTCAAGTCACGCACATTCTTCAACGGTTTCGTTCCGTCCATTCAGATACCACATGTTCGTCAGTGCACGTGCAGTGGTTGAGCTACCTGTTCCAGCCAGGCGGCGGGGGAGTTCCACGTGATCTGTCGCAAATCCAGAAACCCGATATTAAACCACTCCATCAGCATGCGCATGAGACAGTCGTCCAGGCACTTGAAGGCGGCCTTGGCATTCTGGTCCTCTGTCTTGCGCTTGATCCGTAGCAGGTCTGCACGCATGTCGATGACGCACTTGATGCCGCCGGCGTGTCGCGCGATCTGAGTGAAGAGACTGGGGCGGCCGTTCAATTGGGCGGGGGGGTTTAGAAGAGCGCTACACCACAACCAATCCCCACAACCCGGTGCAGAGGTGCCGCCTGAGGCAATGGGGGGATGCACTACAGCAACTACGATGATAGAATCGTTAAACACCCATATCATATGGATAGTACAGTACTCGACCACGCGGAAAAGTGGTGACTTTTTAGGACTATGAGGTGCGAGGGGCGTTGTGGGCGTGTGCAAGAGCTCTTCACGTGGACGTATATGTATGCATGTATATATTTGTATGCATTGTATTGTTCTGCGAACAAATACATTGGCAGTGTCCCAAATGTCGGGTAAGACTCACCTGTTGTACACCGGTTCAGACGCTAACCTCAATCTCATCATAGCCTTAGCATGGGCAATATGTTCTTGCCCGCTGCGCAGCTCTTTCTGCAAAATAGCAAGTGAGGAATTTTCAATCGCAGAAATGGCAGTACTGCCTGTACAGAAAGCTTCAACGAATGGGTCCAATTGACGACAGAAATTTGAAATTTCTAACGTACGTATTAATTGACTTTCAAATAATAAATCACATCGATCCAAGGTGACGTTGAGGTTAAAACTTATGCATACACGTCGGTTGTATAGTCGTTCCAAAGCACACATACTTCGCCTGAGTAGAGACGCAACCCACCTGTAGGTTGCCCATGGCTGCCTCCAGTTCTCGCTCATCTACGTCAAAATCCTGGTACAACACCTCGAAGAACCGCTGTTTGACATCGTCACCGTGTCGTCTGTATGACTCCATCAGGTTTGTGGTGACTATGTTTGGCAGGATATCTGATGTGAGAGATCGCTTGATTTTCACCGCCCTGCAATAAATGAAAGAAGGATACGTTGTGATGTTTGTCCTACGCACTGTACATCAGTCATGCACTGCAAGCTCGCCCATTCTTTTAACTGGGCGTGCGTTTACAACTAGAGGAAAGTGGGTACGAAAGTACACAGATAAAGGTTGAATTGGCATCCCAAAGCCAGTTTGTCATAATCTTGTATGCATTGGATATTGTCGGTGATTCTGGGTGGGCGCCTTGTATTCTCGAAAATAGGATATTTATACAAGCACATATTTATGGAAGTTTTTATTTGCATATATGTCGAAAGAGATGAATGAACTCTTGCAATACTCGCAGAACTAGAAATAACTCTACATATATCAAATATTTGTGGTTATATACAATATTTGCTGTGTACAGAGAATCCAATTCCAAAAACATCGATATATATCTATATATATATATATATGTTTCTATATATTTATATACAGACATATAT